TGGGGCATGTGCCCTGGGGTCGGAGCACCAATGTGAAGCACAACATGCAGTGCCACAAAACGTCTTGGTGTTGTAACGAAATGGGCGGGACATATGTGGGGTAAGATAAAAAAATGACATCAAGTCACGGCTTGACCTGTGCTCCCTTGACAAGAAAACACAAATCAAGTCATGACCCAAAGTGGTTGATGACATTTTTCTAATGATTGGTGAGTTTGTAACCATCCTCTCGGTTGAAATTGTCTATATATGGATGGCTTCATGAACGAATCTTTGTTGATAGCCAGTGGGCTTGCAAAGTACCATCGTCTTAGAGAAATCAATTGCGTGTGAGCCAGCCGCATTAAAATAATAATCAGCCACGGCAGAAGTATTGGTCCCACCGTGTTTCAAATCTGCCTTATGCTCACGAACACGGTCCGAGACATGTTGCTTAGTTTCCACAATGTAACTGCTGCCGCAGATACAGTTTAGTTTGTTGACGCCGGGATATTGCATGTCAGGAATCTTGTCCTTTACAGATGGGATCAGAAACTAAGCTGTGCCTGCCGCAGTAGTTACATTGGGGAAACTAAGCGACATGTCTCAGACCGTGTTTGCGAACACGAGGCAGATCTGAAACATGGTAGAACCAACACCTGCCGTGGCTGATCATTGTTTTTAACGCTGTGGGCACACATGAAATTGATTTCTCCAAGATGAAGGTACTATGCAAACCCACTGGCTATCAAAAAAGATTTGTTCATGAAGCCATCCAGATATATAAACACAGACACAATTTCAACCGAGAAAATGGGTACAAACTGAGCAATCATTGGAAGGACGTTATTCACCAGGTAAAGTCAAAACTGGCTGTAATGCTTCCATCCTACCTGCCTATGTTAGCAGGTATTTCTGACTCTCTGAGTTACATTACCTTGTTAATGTCTTTACATTAACAGGCGAAATGTCTCACTAACATAGCTGCTGCTCCCTTTTCCTCGATGCGGCGGTGGCGCTCGTTGGTTAATAGGCTGAATGTCTCTCATTAACAGCTGCTGCTGCGGGAGCTGTCTCACATTGACATGCTAATCTGTAATCTCGAGCAATACAATGGCTTCTTCAGCACCGTAACCGTGGGGTTACATTAACACATTGACATGCTAATCTCTAATCTCGAGCAATACAATGGCTTCTTCAGCATCGTCACCGTGGGGTTACATTAACACATTGACATGCTAATATCTAATCTCGAGCAATACAATGGCTTCTTCAGCACCGTAACCGTGGGGTTACATTAACACATTGACATGCTAATATCTAATCTCGAGCAATACAATGGCTTCTTCAGCATCGTCACCGTGGGGTTACATTAACACATTGACATGCTAATCTCGAGCAATACAATGGCTTCTTCAGCACCGTAGCCGTGGGGTTACATTAACAGATTGACATGCTAATCTCTAGCAACACAATAGCTGAGGTATACCTAGCTCTGCGATCTTACATTTACTTGCAAATTCCATCTCTAGCCCCGCCCACTTACCCTTGGGTTGTACCCATCTCAAACCTATATAACCGTTGGCTGCAGTAGCCCTCTCGCTATATTTCTTCCTGCCTCAGCAGTCCGCCTGCTGTATTTTTTCACCTGATGACGATTGCTTGTGTTGCGATCAAAACGTCGTGATTTTTAAAATTATTTTTCTATCTACGCAACTTTACCGAAAGACCCAAAGAGTATCTTTTCTTTATTTCAGTCCGTCTTCAATTGCTGGTCACACACATCGTCTGCTGTTTTCAAGATGTGCGCCGCTGACGGACATCTTCAATTGTTTGAGCTTTCCTCATTAATCCTGAACCCAACATTGCAGCCTTTATTCAGCCCTTCTACAATTAACTACAGTTCATTCCCATTGGACGTTATAATCACTATAGGGTCAGCAAATATGTATACATTTGAGACTCCAGTTCAATCTTCATAAAACATCTCCAAATTATACACCCAGGTCTTGAGTGAGACATTTTCAGGAAGTATGATGTTTTACTCATAACCACTTTGAGCAACAAATATCCGTTTAAAAAACGTAGTGCAAGCCCAGTGATAAAGTATACCATTTTCAAGTTAATATTTTCAGAACTTTAGCTACTTTTAAAAAGTTCATCAAGTGGTTGCACATTTTTCACGCACAAACATTGATGGTGGCATTTGCAAAACAGTTGCAATGACCTTGCCTGTATGAAGACAATCTCTGACACCGTTGTCAAAATTTAACGACTGCCTCTTGTCAAGGAGAAATTCCCAGGGGCTGTAATTATTTCTAGTTATATAAATTCAATGTTACGTAAGAGACTCGTGAAAAGGTGACACTGTTTCTGGCACTGACGTCAACATTCTCCGGGTGGCCTAAGTGGGTCCATCAAAGGAATGCGCTCACACATCTGGTTGTGGCGGCCAAGGCGGGTTCCCCCGCGGTCGCTGGTTCTGTCCAAGGGGTGGAAGTCTGTGTTTTGGTGGACACGGGTGCGTCGGCCACCATTATATCTGAATGTATCTTTGGGTTGTTGCCACGCAGCGTTGGTCCATTACGACTGGTTCAAGGGGCTTGTGTTGCCGCAAACAGCGGTCGTTTGGGTATCTTGGGCCACATTGTTGCCTCCATTAGAATTGGTGATATCGAATTGGAGGGGCCCGTCTTAGTCTCAAAGGCTTTGGCGGTGCCATTCCTTTTGGGGACGGATTTCTTGGCCAAAATGCCCATTAGAATACTCATCGACCAGGGTTGTGTGGAGATGCCATCGGGCCGTCGGTTGCACTTCTTGCGTTCTCCCACCATGTTCCCTCTTGCCGCCAGTGTACGAGCTTTGTCTCAGGATTCCATGACCATTCCACCTGGGTCACCGATGTTAATACTCCTAAGGTTGCGCAAACCCCTGGAGTTGCAGTCAGGGTTCCGGGCTTCCATGGGAAAAGGGTCAAAAGGCTTGGATTTATTGTCCCCAGGTGCCTGTTGGGACGTCCCCAAAATTTAATCGCCCTTGGCAAGGCCCTGTTGAGGTTGTGGAGGTCCAATGGCCTCAGTATGTTCGTATCCGCTTCGGTCGCCGGCACTGGATTGTCCACCCGTCTAGGCTGAAAAGATATGTGCCACCTAGTCCTGTTGATTAATCTTCACTTCCTGAGCGGCAGGTGATTGATGCGTCCGATGAGCCGGGCCACCCGGGACGGGATGATATGCGGGGTAAACACTCTCTGTGCGCCCACAGAACCTCCCCGAGTAGCTCCCAAGGCGCCGCCTGTTCCTGTTGGAGCCCCTACAACAGGGCTGACATCAACGGATGCTCCGCCTGCTCCGACACCTGACACCGCCCGCGGGAGCGGACCGGCGGCTCATACGCGCTCTAGGAGCGCTCCATTCCGCTGACCGCCCCCTTGGGCCCATTGTCCTTGGGTTCCAACTATCGCCGTCTTGTGATCGGCGCCTTGCGCCGCGGGATGGCGGCCTGCCTACTTTGCCATTCTGCCTTATTATGCCTTTTGTTCCCCCGCAGACGGCTCTGCCTTCATACTCGCTTCCACATCGTTATTTGTCTCGTTATTATTGTTCTTATTGTTGGTTGATATCTTACACATCGGGTTCTATGCAACTCTGCTTTAGTATAATTGACAGCCGTGACGGCTGATTTTTTTTTACGGGGGGGTGGGGGGGGGTGATGTAGAGGAATAGTGTGATGACGTGGCGTCATGAGCGCTGTGAGGCGTGATGACGTCATGTTATGAGCACCGTAAGGAGATATCGAGAAGAACGAGGGCGGGTCCGAGATAGGGGGAGGAGCCGCCCAAGGGGATAATTAAGGGGGCTCCTGTGACGAAAGCGGGGTCGTTGTAGGAGCCCGGGATGTGTAGCGGCTGAAGAAGGTCTCTCCCGTTCATGACCGGACGGTGTTGGCTGAACCCCCGTCCGGGTTCGACGAGTGTGGGAGCCAAAGGGATAGCCGAGGGTAGGGCTTGAAGAAGTCCGTGAGAGCCGGCTAGGGATACGTGGGGTGTTGCTCTCCTCGGTCGGGCGGTGTTGGCTGAACCCCCATCCCGACTCGAGTGAGAGAGCCCAAGGGGATAGCCGAGGCTAGGGACAAGAGTAGAGCCTGGGGTCCACGGGAAGGACCGAATGTAGTGGACACCTACCTCTGGTGTGAGTTGTTACCCTTGTTAATAAACCGGCATATGCCCTTACAGAAGTTCCGTCTTCACGTCGTTCTACACTACACAACACAGGTATCACATATACTAAAAATCCCTCGTGATACAAAATGGGCAGTTCAAGGGTATTCCACAAATGTGAAGCAGCAATGTGGAAATTCTTTTTTTTCCCCAAAGTATTAACAAATGGAATGTTTAATCGTAATAAGGAGACATTTGCAAGGTAACGTCTTGCAGAACGTCAGAGTTTGGCAGCATGCAGCCCTTGCCACGCAAGACACAGCCGGTCAGCACGCGGAGTCATCTTGGTCGTCGCGGACAACGCCACGATCTGCACTCACAAAGACAAAAGGTCCCTGCCCCCCCCCCCCCCACCCGTGTAGCCTTAACAGACTGTTGGGGCAAGTGCTGTTAGCGAGTAGCACCTATGAAGGCCAATACGCTGTCACCAGGGAATGGTGTGGGCAACAACAAGCCCGGCTGCCTTTGTCTCCCCAGTGCAGATGTTTTACGCCCTGCACCAGTTACTCATGTTTAGGCTGAGCTGAGCGAGAGTAGGGCCAGGATTGGTTGAGATATTAATAGATTGCAGGGGTGAGTGGTGTTCGCGAGTACCTATGAAAGTCAGCATCGCACAAGAGGGGGTGGATGGCTAACACGATGCCCGGCCAACTTTGCCTCCACAGTGCTGCTTAAACACTCGGTGGACCTTGGGGAGGCCCAGAAGCAGTTAAAATATTTTACACTCTTATTGGTCTTGAGTGGGAATTAAACTCAGGTCGCTGGGTTTGTACAGGCACCCACACATACAACATACATGGTGCATGGCAAAACGTTATTCAATTTACTCATCAAAGCTCATCTCACCCACTGCCCTCGACATATTGCAGCCACGCTCACACACTGCACTCACGTGCATATCTATGTATTAACACTCATTCATTGTCTTAAAACATCTTAATATATCGAGGACCGCAGAGCTTGGGCAATTGATTGCGCTGGCTCACTGCCCTCCTGATGATTTTACGATTGTCTGTGGTTCCTCAGCGACGGTGAGATGCAATTCGCATGAGCGTCGATGCTGTATAAAGCTAAACAATGTTATATACATTGTGTGTGCATCTCTCACGTATATAAATGAGTGTCTGTGCATGCGCGTTCCTCTTTGTACGCATATACGTGTCTAATTAAGGTCACTGTTGCAAATGAGACTTGCCTAGTCTCTTGATTTCTTACCTGTTTAAAAAAATAATCTTGAGAATCCTGTTTTAATTATGCGGGGCTTACCCTAAACTCAGGTCACACTGCTGAATCAGTTTATTTTGGGTCAGGTGCATTGAGTTAAGAAGCCGTTTTTCAATTGTGACTGGGCCAAAGCATGCTGGCTCTATGCTCTGATAAGGGCATTATGAGGCCATCCAGATTTACTCACTGTCATGTAGGCAACAGCCATTCAAATTAGAAATTACCGCAAGTGATGTAAGATAATAACAAATTACCAATTAACACTGCCTCTTTTCACTTGTATTAAAATCACCAATTTGAGGTTTAATTTCGATACCAATTATAAATATAATGAAATTGCATATTTATGGTACGTGTAATTTAGATATTGCCCATCTCTGGCTTTCGATGAGCGGATTGCTCCCTCTCAGTGGACGGACTCTGGGACATGTTCCAAGCCTTGGCTACCACTCCATCATATTATTGACCATTGGCCATCATCCCTTTGTATCCATGATGTGTCTTGCCCAAGCCCACTACTTGTTCTTAACGGTTTGCATAATATCCTTAGAGTACATTTTCATTGTGCTCTATGTGTTCCTCTTATGGTTCTTAATCCAATTCCAAGTGGGCATCTCTCCATGCCTCTGCCCAATTTTTAGTTTTTGTTCCACTTCGTTCATTCGCGTCCATGTTTCTTACCCATTTGTCACGCAATTTGTATTCGCCATACATACTAGTTTACTATAGTTTTGTTGAATATAATAAACAAGCATATGGATCTGAAGTGAAGACCTGTGCAATGTGTGGCAAAGTAGGAAAAGGCTGTACTGATCAGATCTGTAGTTTCAGCCAGGTAGGGGAAAGAGAATCATGGCACACTTATCAGTGGCTGTGAGCAACCCTGAGCGTCCGAGGCGTACTGCATTGCGTCGGGCATTCACACAGCGGGGTGGTGCTGGAACAAGTCCTGCTGCAGCTGCTGGTTGCAGGGACTCGTACACCACGTGGGTGAGATCCGGCAAGGTGCAGGAGGCTCTCCGTGGGGATTCCCTCCTCAACCACACCCCCGCTGCAACGGCGCTTCAGCTGCTTCACCATCTGCACGTTCAGAGACACGCGGACGCCTGCGGCGAAGCAGAATGGGGGCAAGGAGACAGATATACAAAATAAGCACTCGACACACTTACATCTATTGATAGTGTTTCTGTATTCTGATTACATTATTGAAAAATCTAAAAAAAATGTTAAACAAAAATAATCACAGCGAGTCTTTAGACCTTTTTCAGAAGTGACCTTTCAGAGTCATGCTGCTGCTTTTTCAATTGTTTCTGCATGAGAGGAAACAACCATCTCTGACCCTTGCCCCTGAGTGAATTCCTCTCTCCAGAAATGTCTTCTCCCCATGCTTCCTCTTTCTTGTCTCCATCTCCTCACATCTCCTCTCGCATCCGTACCTTCATCTGTTTCCAGCCTTGGCCGGCAGCCATGGCAGTATCATCGGATAGATGAGGAAGGACGAGTCCACTTCCTTGGGCGGCTGCCTGAACGAGTCGAGTACATGCACCGTCTTGTACTGCAACTGGTGCAAGGCGGTGCGCGTGCGCACGGAGATGAGGGGGGGGGGGGGGCAGGAGAATTAGAATTAGGTGCATCAGTTACAAAACACTCTGCTTGCACGACTTGTTAGGATGCGTGGTTTTGAAACGTCATTTACCACCCATCATGCCATGTTACTACCACGAACATCTCATGGCCCCTTCTTACCCATCATGCCCGCACTTCCGATTAGCACGGTTGGCTACATACGGTGAGACAGAAGTTCAAAATACATACGTGCCGTGCCACCACCACCACCAACAATAACCGTCATTCATCACTAAGTGGTGGTGATGTCAACATGGTGCTTGTGTGAGGCTATGTGCACTTTGAGACCATGTGGAGTGTTGAAGGCAGGCTGGCAGGAGGTCACAGAAGAAAGCCAGGTTCCATGGGTTGACTTACTGGGATGACTGGCAGATGCACCAGCTGTGCCCCCGACTGTGCCAATTTGCTGTGATTTAGCCGCCCGGCCCTCCACTTGTTGTTATCAGTGTCGCTCCTCTACCCTCTGCTGCTATTGAAGGGAGATTCTCTCCAACTGGCCAGTAGTATCCTTCACGAGTCTCTTCCATAGAGGCCGATCTTGACACAAGTCCACTCAGCCACAGATCTTCCTGTACCACATCAGTCCATCTTTTCTCTAGCCCTTGCCGCCCCTGTTTAGCCCCCTCTATCTGGCATGCGGGCTACATGACCCAGCCAATGGAGCCTCGCCTACCGGAGGAGCTCACCGATGGGACCTTGTCCAGATCTTTCAAGGATTTGTGAGCTCCTCAAACAATCCAGCCTGTTTAAACACAAGATGGATCGTAGGCAGGTCAGCCTGAATGTTTTAGGGGGGGTTACGTTTTGCAAGCGTAGAGAAGGGAGGCCATGACCGTGGCCGAGAAGACCCGAAGTTTTGTGTGGAACGACATACCAGGTAGCTTCCATACAGTGCTATGCAGCCGATGAAAATAAAATTCTGCTCGACTTATGTGTAGTGATCCCCCTGCTGCCAAACCGGAGCTGGCCATTAGCACTGCCCAGGAACGAAAACGTATCCACTCTCTCCACAATCGCCCCACCATTGGGAAGTTAAAGGGATGGAGCGTTTGATGACACTAAATACACAGGCAGGTGCTTAGTTTTGGAGGGGCTGATGGTAAGGCCCCACCTCTTAGTAACACGCTCCAGGTCAAGCAGCAGCGTCTCCAACTCCGTCTATGAGTCAGAAAAAATCACAAGATCATCAACATACATGGCACGGTTGACCATAGGGAGCCATCCCTCGACCGCATCCGGGCATCGATCAGCCTCCCATTGTATCTGTACCAGATGGAGATTCCTCCGGTAGAGCCATGGAAAGCTTCTCAAACCTCAAACCACGTGGTCAAAAATGTGTCAAATAATGTAGGAGCCAGAGGACATCCATGTAGCAACCCAAGTTGAACAGGGAATTGCTCTGACTCCCGACCATGTAGCTTTACCCAGGCCTCCAAGCAATCAGGAAGGTCCTTAATGAGTAGAGAGTCAGGGATTCCGAAATCATGAAAAATAAAGACATACACACACGCGTGTACGCACATGCACGTATGCAAAGCGCATACGTACAAGCACACATACGCACACACACTCACCCACTCACCTACCACACACACACTCACCCACACATTCACCCACAAACTCACACACCCACTCACCTAACCACCCACCCATCCACCTAACCACCCACGCACATAACCAGCTACCCACAAACCCACCCACTCACCTAACCACCCACACACACACTTACACACTTACACACACGCCAACTCACCGGGGTGGGTGATGTGAGCCTTCTCGGGGCCCACCTTCTTACGTGAACGAAGTCTACAACGAAATTTATAACGAATTAAATTGCTCAGGAAACCATATGTCGCCAGTCGACCTCTGGGTTACAGCAGAAAGAACAAGCCGAACGGCCAAATGAGCCCTTCCATCGGCCCCTCGGTTCGTCTATGCCAGCTAAATGTTGAGGGTCTATCTGGAGTGAAGACAGATGTGCTCGCAAAGATCCTTCAGCAAGAAAACATCTACATCCTTATTCTTGGTTCTTTCGGTAAAGTCACGTAGAAGGGAAACAATAAAATAATAAAAATATAAAACATTATATTTTATTTTTTTATATAAACATTATATTTTATATTTTTTATATTATTTCATTGTTTCCCTTCTACGTGACTTTACCGACAGAACCAAGAATATGAATCCCTGGAGTCACGAAAGCTTTAAATCAAAATCTACATCCTTACTATCCATGAGACGTGGAGGAAAGCAGCTCTCTACGATTAAACATTTCAGGGTACATTCTCGCTTCCAATGACCACGCTAAACACGGTTTGGCTACTTACTCTGCGTATCACATCAAAGATCCAATGGAAATTATTCAGACAGACGATTTCACGATTGGGACAATAGTCTCGTATACAATGTCTACAAACCGCCAAAAACAACCTGGCACCTACCACATCCCGCGATCTACATAGGCGACTTCAACATCCATCACACGATGTGGTGTTATCCAGTTAACGACCTGGCAGGCAACCAAATCCTTGATTGGGGATCAAGGAATAGGGAATATAACACAGACCTGTGCTTTGTAACCACAGATAAGAATGGAAAGCCTTTGCCCACCATGCGCAAAGTCCTGCCTCGCTTCCCGCACAGCCAGCACAAGCCCGTGGTCATCCACGTTGGCCACAACATCCCAGTAATCACCAGCACACCAAGACCCTGCTGGAACTTTAGACGGGCAAATTGGCCTGGTTTTATGGCTGCAGTGGAAAAAAACATCCACCACATCTCCACGAACCCTGAAAAGTGTTGAGCAGTTCATCATGCTCGTAAAGAAAGCCGCCAGGGATGCGATTCCACTGGGCTATTGGAGGTCCTACACCCCCGGCTGGACTGCGGGAAGTGAAAACCTTCCTCGAGAACATCAAAGCACCGGTGACACAGAGATCACCACAACCCTTCTGCAGTCGTTAGATTCTGCCGGACGAGCAAGACATCATGAACACCAACCTAAAGAAATTGGAAAATTGTTATTACTCCTGGCGACTTAAAACAAATCCAACCAAGACAGTGTCCTCAGCGTTCCATCTCCACAACGTGGTGGAAACAAGTACGCTGAAGATCGAGATTTGTGGTAAAGCCGTCGCCCACGATCCACTCCCAAAATACCTTGGAGTGGTGCTCGATCGAAGCCTCAATTTCAGGCAACACATTAAGCAGTTGAGCAAAAAGATAAAAACCCGCATAAACATTATCCATAAACTGGCGAGAACTAGTTGGGGCTGTGATGCACAAACACTATGGACTGCCACACTCGAGTTATCAACAAGAAATTGAATATTGCAGTGCGTGGCCATCTCGGGTACGCTGAAGTCGACGCCGACCCAGTGGCTCCCAGTGCTCACCAACATCGCTCCACCACAAATCCGTCGTGAAACAGCGGCCGTCTGGGAGTACCAAAAATTCTTATTAACCCGCAGCTTCCTATACATCAGGACATAAAGTCAGTGCCGCCTGTTTTCCTACAATCACGCCACCCCATCTGGATCACAGCAGCCTCATTCCGTGCTGCAAATACAAATGAAGGCGAGAAATGGAAGCAAGTTTGGATTGCAGCCGACGTCAAAAAGAAACATCTCATACAGGATCCTACCATCGAACCTCCCGGTTTCAACCTTCTACCTCACTAATGGTCGACCATCAACTGAATCAGGAACGTGCATGGCCAATACGGCCACCTGATGCACACATGGCACATCAAAGATTCAGTGGCCTGCGAGTGTGGCAACCAATCCCTAACGATCGACCACATTGTAAAGAGCTGCTGTCTTCACTCCTTTAAAGAAGGAATGGACGAGATCCACTCTGTGTCTGAACAGACAATTGAGTGGATAACAAAATAAAAATTACATATATAATCTGCTGCTATGAATCCATATGAAAGAAGAAGAACCCATTGACCCACGCACTCACCCACTCACTGGCCAACTTACCCACTCAGCCACCCATTCACTCCCCAGCTCATTCATTCACACACCCACTCACCCACCTACCCACTCACCCACTCACCCACTCACTTCACTCACTCCTTACCCACCCACCCACTCACCAACTCACCCACTCATTTAACCACTGACACACTCACCCGCACACCCACCCACTCACCCATCCACTCATCCACTCACTCACCCGGCGAAGTCTGAGCGAGCGGAGCGACTCTCACAGCCAGATGTAGCAGCGTTCAGCAATGATTCCGTTTATTACGATGATTCCATAATATACATTTGTTTGGGTTAGATCGCGTAAATATGAACGTGTCGTTAAATCCGCCATCACCCGACACAGCCAATTAGTAAGGTTTCTTACATAAAGAAGACATGCAAATTAGTTACGTGGTGCCACGGCCGCGGAGCAACTCCACAAGCGCCGCGACTCCCCCTGGCCCCCACCCTGAGCACACACACACGCACGCAGCGCACAGGACAGGTTACATTGCGGTGCCCATAAATTGGCTTAAAATTGTATGGACGCACAAAGGTTCACTGGGCCAGCGGCAATTAAGCGAGCAGAGCAGACAATGAGGTCAGGGGATCCCAGCGCCATGACCTCCCCCGGCCCCAGACCAAATACACACTAGCAGGGTGTGTATTCGCCAGCCGGACGTCCTTCCAGATTAAACAGGTTGAGTCAGAAATTAATGAGTACGGGTGCATATACAATAGGTAGCAGAAATAACCGTCGCAACACTCCTTATAAGGGAAAGAAAACGAGCGAAAATCACAGGTAGGCGCACGATTGGCCGCGCGGAATAACGTAACCCTGGATTTTTGAAGTCAGGGGGCATTAAAAGGGGAACTCGAGGCATTCAAGACAGAACTCTTCTTCAACAGCTTGGTCGCCCCCCCCCCCCCCCTTGCCATCCTGCCTCCTCGAGCCGCTCGCAGCATCTGTGTGATGCCAGCGAGTGCTGCTACGAGGCAGTGCTAGGCAAGGTTTTTTCGTCATCCTCCCTCCGACTCTCACAGCGTCCATGCGACGCCGTGAGTACAGTTGCGAGGTACGTGATAGGGCGTGTGAGTATTTGGGGACTTGGGTAGCACCAGGGAGCGGATTCCGTTCTTGGGACAGGAGCCGGGTCGCCATCGCTTTGAGCCCGTGGCCGCTATCCTGGCGTCGGCCGTCACTGTCAGCCCCCTCGCGGAGATGCTGTTGCAGGTAGCAATGCCCCCCACCAACCCCTCTCACCGGCCATCGGGTGATGTAATGTTGACTCCTCACCTGGAGTTGGCGGCACGGTACGGGGTTGTAGGGTCAGCGCACGTTGGTAAATGCTGATGGGGGCCGGCTGTTTCTGCGAGTTTTTAACCCCCACAGTACCCCAACAACACTGTGACGGTGCACCACGGTAGCCACAGTGTACCCCCTGCACGCGCGCCACTCCAGCAGCTCGGTGTTCGCCCACTGGGCTGAGGACCCCTGCTGCCCCGAGGGCAACCAGAACCTGGCGTGGCAGGTCGGGCCCAATCCCCAGAGCGGAGGTCGTCCCCCTGCTTGATGTGCTACAGGTACCCTGGGCGAATTTAATCAAGGTGGAGGCCGATCAGCTGCGAGGGTTACTATGGTAGTACGCCGACGTGTTTAGTGAGCATGATTCGGATGTTGGCCGGACAGACCTCGTCAAGCACCAAATTGACACAGGTGCAGCCCGACCCATTAAACTCCCTGCATACTGAGTGGGCGCACCTGAACGGACCCAGATTAAAGAGGCGGTCGCGGATATGCTCCGCGATAACATAATACAGCCCTCAGCGAGCCCCTGGTCTGCCCTGGTTGTGCTGGTGACGAAAAAGAATGGGTTGACCCGGTTCTGTGTTCATTATCGAAAGCTGAACGCGGTTACCCTCAGCGACACCTTCCCCATCCCCCGCACGGTATGTCTCCACCCTAGATCTAGCGTCCGGGTACTGGCAGGTGGAGATGGTGGCCGAAGACCGCATTTACCACCCCGATTGAACTGTTCGAGTTCCGAGTGCTTCCGTTGGGACTCACTAACATGCCTGCGATGTTCCAGCAGTTGATGGAGTTGGTGATGCGGGGCTTGCAAAGGTAACAGTGCCTAATTTACCTGGATGATGTGATAGTGTTCAGTAGGTCCCTGTCTGAGCACTGGTCCAGGTTACTGGAGGTGCTCCAACGACTGCAAGCAGCCCATCTCAAGCTAAAACCGCGTAAGTGTTATATTGTGCAGCGCGAGGTGGGGTACCTCAGACACCGCGTCAGCGAGGCAGGGGTACGCACCGACCCATAAAAGGTACATGCCGTAGTGGAATGGCCGCGCCTGAGGAACCTGACGAAGATCAGGTCATTTCTGGGGCTAGCCACTTATTATCGTCGATTTGTGAAAAGATTCAGCAAATTTGCACGTCCCCTAACCCAACTCACTTCCCCTAAGAACCCATACCATTGGACAGAGGCCTGCCACATGGCCTTCACCACCCTCAAGGACAATCTCACCCATACCCCCACCCTGGCTTTCCCTGACTTTTCTGTCGATTTTATCCTGGACACCGACACCTACAGCAGTGGGTTGGGCGCTGTGTTGTCGCAGGTGCAGGATGGGGCGGAGCGGGTCATCGCGTACACCAGCCAGACCCTGAACGGAGCCAAACTGAACTATTGTGTGACCCGTCTGTAACTGTATGCCGTGATTTTCGCGTGCAAGCAGTTCCAGCCGTATCTCTATGGCCGTAAATGTCGTGTGCGCACTGACCATTATGCTTTGTCGTTCCTCCTCACTTTCAAGGAACCACGGGGGAAGATGGCCCGGTGGCTGACGCAGCTGCAGGAATATAACCTGCAGATCGAGTACAGGGCCGGACGGACGCACACAAATGCGGACGCATTGTCGAGGCGACCCGCGATGTGCCCCGAGACACGGGCTGAGGAGGCCTGCCCGTGTTTCACGGGGGGGCAGTAGCCCCCCTGGAACGCCCTGAGACTAACCCCCCTCTGTTGAGAGAGAGTGCCGTGTGTGTCACAGAGGTCCCTGCTGAAGGGGCCGAGGGCCCGGAGGGCCGCCTGGCAGGCACGGATCCTGCACCTCTGGGCCCGATGGGATGCTCCGACCAACCCGGTCAGATCCAGGAGGACTTCGGCTGTGCGTTCCCTGGCCTAGACGACAAACAGCTGCGACAGGCCCAGCAGCGGGACCCGGATCTGGCAGCGGTGGAGGTGGCCCTACGGGAGGAAAAGGTCGCCGTACAGGGACCCTGGAGTAGGTTGTGCTCCCGGTTGTGTGTAAAGGATGAGGTGGTGCGAGAACTAACCGAAGCCGGGCAGTCGGGGTGCATTTGTGTTCCTGCCCAGGTGCGGCCCCAGCTGCTATGACTGGTGCATGACGACCCGCTTGGGGGCCATGATGGGGAATGGCACACTCAGGAGACCCTGCGACGCCAGTATCTCTGGCCCAAACTGACGCAAGACGTGGCCGCCTGGGTACAGGGCTGCCGCACTTGTCAACAGTGTGGGCAGAAACCGGCGTGGTATCAGGTGCCCCTGAGGCCATTCCGCATCAGCAGGGCGAACCAGTTGGTTGGGGTCGACTTACTGGGGCCATTCGTGCAGTCCCACCGAGGCAACTGGTACATTCCAGTAGTGGTGGAGTATTTTATGCGCTATCCAGTGGCAGTGGCCATCCCCGATAAGACGGCCCTTGTGGTTGCCCAGGCATTTGTTAAGCATTACTTGCTCAAACATCTGATCCCCGAACGAGTCATTACTGACTAGGGTAGTGAGTTCGAGGTAGAGCTATTTCAGGCGCTGTGCTGGGAGTTCAGAATCCAGAAGGACCGAACCACCGCATACCACCCCCAAGCAAATGGTATGGTGGAGCGCTTGAACCAGACCTTGGCTGGAAAACTCGAACGTATGGTGGCCGCCAATCAGCAGGATTGAGACAAACACCTTCCCTACGTCCTGTTCACCTACACCACCATTGTACACACATATACTTGACAGACCCCGTTCCTAATGGTGTTTGGTCGTGAGTCTCGCCGACCGGCAGACCTGTTGTTTCGCGTTCCCCTGCCACAACCAGAGGAAGGGAGCCAGCCCGTGAAGCACCTGATGAGGACCCTGCGAGTGGCCTGTGGCCGGGCCTACCAGCAAAGGGGAGGCTGCCCATCAGCGGCAAGAGCAGGGCGCCCGCCCCCGTGTGGAGCCCCCCTTCTACTCGGCGGCATACCCCGCGCGTGGGGGCGGGACAGGTGGGGAACCTGACCACCTACTGGCGAGGACTCTGGACCGTTGTGCGTTAGATCTCCCCCTGGACGGTGCTGATCCAAGGCGGAGAGAGGGGTTGAGAGATGGTGGTCAATGTTCGCCGATTAAAGCTCTGGAGGGTGGCCCCTGCAGGGGAAGCGCCCGCCCCTTGGTGCCCCAAAACCCTGGAACCCCCATACCCCCCATACCTGATGGCTTCACGCCATACATGGGCCCTGCTGGGCCCGAGTTCCCAGCGGACCCCTCTGCCTCTGAGTTTGTTCCCCAGCCAGCGGACGCTAGGGGGCAGGAGGAGCCTCTGGAGTGGAGACGGAGACCGCCACCGGGGCCTCGGAAAAATGAGCCACCACCCACGAAACCAGCAACGAGAGCCGGGTGGGTCCCACGGACTCCGTGGCACTTCCTGGTTGGAGTGACCCAGGCGAGGTGCTCCAGTCAGCCCAGGATGCGGTGCGATATTTTGCTGGTGATTACAACCAGCTTCATCAGGCGATCAGCCGTAATTGTTTTTATGACGATGATGATGATGATGCTGTGCTCTCAACTGGTTGGTAATAAAACCACATGGGCCCACTCATCCGCTGTCTGCAAGTCTCCCAGTTTAAATTTGAAAATATTATTACTTATATAGTGGGTACAAAACTTGAGGAGTCTTCTCTCTTCTGGAGGCAGCACGTTTATTTAACATTTACATAACACAAAGGGGTACGACTCCTTCCACCCAATAAACTAAGGCGGTATTTCCTCCAGACTATTCTGTTCTCACACTGGTTATGCTCTAACCCTACCCTGGTTAAACTCTGACCCTACACTGGTTAAGCTTTTGCCCCTAGCCAGGGGTTCGGGTTCTGCCCTTTGGTCTCTTCGCTTCGGGTCTTCCAAGTGCCAGCTCCAGGTCTCTGGGGTGGCTCTTCGGTCTTCAGGTAAATGACGACCGCCAGTCCCGTTCAGGGGACCAGCTTTTATACCATTTTCTGGCTCACTCCCCCCCTAGCCACTCCTCCCTTCTGGAACCATCTGGAGGGGCCTGGAGCATGATGTCATCCCGCAGCCCCCCTCTTGGGGGTCTGGGGTCTGTACCCCTTGTCCCGAGCAATATTGGGGTTTACCTTAGCCTAACGGCCTCACTCATCTCCAATGGCTTCCCGTCTAACCCTGTTGGCTCAAGGCCGTTACTGCAAGCCATAAGTAGCGGCAGTTACACACAACTTTCAACGAAGCCGCTACACTTATTTAGTTTTCCCATTGTGGGATTTGTCCATTCGCAACAAATTTACTATGGTAACAGAGTCCGCTGATCAAAACCCCACTGTGGTGGCTCGACCATTCACAGTTGACCGCGAGGTTCCTGCTGTACGTGTCGTGGCTGCACTGCTCATGATGATGCTGCTGCAGTGGAAGAATACATGCGGTGTCTTGGTTCCATCTTTTCTCATCTCCGTCTATTCTCTGTCTTGTCTCCGTTTCATCTGCGTCTCATCTCCGTCTTGTCTCCCAAGTCGCCTATTGTGGGTCCCAGGCCACGTGGTTTTCCAGCCTCCAGTGAGGAGGCAGTGATGTTCAGATACGCGATTTTTATTCCTCGAGTCTACCGCACTGAACACAGAAAATACGTGTACAGTACTTTACACCACATGCATTTGTTTTTTCATTCTATACATTTGTAGTGGCATAGAATAAGTAATGTAGCAGCATAGCGCTGGCTGCTGGCGGGGTAGAGTATATGCAGCTTACAGCAGCCCTGACGTCAGCAGGCCAGGTTAAACACCAGAGGGGGATCTAGGAGAAAGGTCACAGAAGAGGCACTCCAAGAACCCGCTGGTCGTATTCAAAAAGGGGGCGTGGCCTCGGGCGGAGCCAGGCCACGCTGACAGTATAAGAGGGGCCCCTGGAGGTGACTTCGGGGCTGTCGACTGCAAGTGGGATCCCCGTCATGCTGCTCAAGTCCATCGTCGTCGTCACAATTCTTCTCTCGTCATCGCTCGATATTGCGCTGCTATACAGTTGTTGGCTGTATCGGTCAGCGCCATCGGTGTTAGATGGCTAGTGCTGTGTATAGGCTAGGGTGTGTGTAGCCTAGGCGACTGTAGGGTGTATGAAGGGAGATTGTGATTATAATAAAAGTGCCTCCAAGAATTACTGCCTCTGAGTTGAACCACTACACATTTACTGTACAAGTCATATTTTACAATGCAGAAAATATGATTATATTTTACGTTCAAAAATACTTTGTTTAGTGTTTGGCTTGATGTAGGATAACGTATTAAAAAAGGAAGTGGTGGGTGTGATATTACGAACCGTGAACCAAACCCAAAGTTTTCCCCACAATGCTTTTCAGTTTGCGGGTGGTCGTGGATTTGCCGATTGCGGTTCTAGTTTCAAGAATGTAACCAGACTCACCACGATGGGCAAGGGTTTGCTGTGTTTCATTTTAATTTTTGTCATCGTCAAGTGATGCTCTGATCTAGGCCTCAGCAAGGTAAGGTAATTTACCATTTTTACTGGGTAAAAGGGTAAAGGTAAAGGGTAAAGGTGTCGACATGCCAAGGGGTAAGGTAAAGGGTAGGGTAAAGGTAGCTCGGAAGAATTACCCGGAAGGGTGAAGGTAGCGCGAAGTATTACCCGGTAAATACAGTACCTTGTTTACTGCTAAAAGCTCCATGGCGCAGTCCGTGGCCTCTATTTAATAAGTAATATTTTTAAAAAAACTTTTTTTAAAACACGCTGTTATGAAATCTACGAGTAATGGCAGAACTCCACGACTCCAGGAAGTGGCCCCGAAGCTTGCCACAACGTAAGGGACCGTGGGCAATTACAGCCAACGTCAGTTGACCGTGGACAGTTCGACCCAAGCCGAAACATAACATATAAAAAAGAATGTTTAAAAATATTTTTATTTTATTTTTAATGATAGAATATAATATTGTCATCAGTATGACATAAGTATACCAAGTTTGCAGTCGAAACCACATTGGGAAGTGGGTTAAAATTTAGTTACAAGATTTGAGGATACAACGACAACAACGACAACATCAACAGATTGAGTTTAAAGAAAGCGTGTAAAATTGGAATAATCGCGAGTATTCTATATGAATAAAGCACTCTACCTAGCATGTACCTGTTATAAACCTTTTTCATGTGTACTACCCCAGTAATTACCCTGTAATCGGGTAATTTGTATGGGGTAAGGGTAAACGGTAGGGTAAAGGTAGGCTCGTTGCTTTTAACCTTTTACCTTACCTGCTGAAGGGCAAAAGGTAGGGTAAAGTGATTGTATTGTGGTAAGGTAAAAGGTAGGGTAAAGGTAGGCTCGTTGTTTTTACCTATTACCTTTAACCTTACCTTGCCGAGGCCTACTGTGGTCCATAAAGGATGGAACCCGCGGAAGCAGATATCGCAGAGCTACCTCCGAGATCCCTTCTTCAGTGACATTCTGGTCCACACGGGACGGAACACGCGTAAGCAGATATCGTAGATCTACCTCCAATATCTCTTCTTCAAGTGACGCTCTTGTTCAGACAGGACAAAACCCACGTAAGCGGATATCGTAGAGCTACCTCCGAGATCCCTTCTTCAAGGGACACTGGTCCACACAAGACAAAATCCGCAGAAGCGGATATCGCAAAATTACCTCCAAGATCTCTCCTTCAAGCAACGCTCTGGTCCACACATGATGGAACCCGCGGAAGTGGATATCAAAGAGCTACCTTAGGGCACCCACCCCCTTATGTATTGTGACGGCCTTCATAGATGCTGCTCGCTAAAATTACTTGTGCCCAAAGTTTGTTAAGGCTATACAGAAGACCTTTGTCTTTGTCGTGGTTGGTAATGATGGTGGGGAAACCGGCGTAGGCCTCCGCTAGGTAGACTCAGCTTTAAATGAGTACCTGATGCGGTGTGTAAACATCAGGACTGGGGAGACAAAGGCGGCCGGGCGTAGTGCTGGCCACCCACCCCCTCGTGTACTGTGCCGGCCTTCATAGGTGCTGCTCGCTAACAGCACTTGCCGTAATAGGTTGCTAAGGCTATACGGGGGATCTTTGTCTTTGTGTGAGCTTGGGTTTCCTCCGAGTTGGATTTTCTCCCATAGCTACACCCCACCCACAGTACAACTGGCATTGAGCCAAAACCACATCCCCCCAATGCTGAAAAATAATGCCCTGCAGAACATACACTCAACTGGGATCTCATAGCAGCATCGCCACCGCGACTGTGAACCAAACCTGGCAGGACCCTCCTGATTTAAAGTCTTGAGACTCTCCCGGTTTAACAAGATGAATTTTCATGAAATATCATCACGATTCATGGGCAGATATCCCGTAAGTGTCCACTGTACTTGTCGTCATTTGTTTCTACTTTTCTCAGTCTTGTGCCAATATGCTCAAGTCGTTGCCACATTTTTCTGGCACCAATCTCTCATGTCGTCATCAAGCCATTCTCTGTTAGGTCTTCCTCTCTTTCGGGTTCCTTCAGTTTTTCCGAATAACAACAGACTTTTAATTATCCTGTTGTCCATCCTACATACGTGTGTCCAAATAGTGCCAGTTTCCTTCTCATCACTGTCTGCATGATAATAACCACGATAATTATGTTTAAACACTCGGCAACATTCATCTGAAACAAGAACAACGCCAACAAGAACGCGACTGAGTCGGAGGGTCGGAGCCGGTAGCGTGTGGTGGGGAAAAGTTCGGCTACTCCCACCTCTTTCCTTTACAGCCCACACCACGGAGATATAGATCGGGTTCTCGTAGACTCACACTGAGGCTGGTAATCTCGCATAAAGACCCATGGACTCACACATAGACCCATAGACTCCGACAGAGATTCACCACACAGAGACTCACAGACTCACATAGAGACTCATAGCACACAAGAACCCACAAACTCATCGCACAGAGAGAGCCATAGACTCTTCTTTGGTTCTTTCGGTAAAGTCACGTAGAATGAGAATAAAATAATAAATTGATAAAATAAAATAACACAATAATATTCTCACGACGTTTCGGCCACAACACAAGCGGCCTTCATCAGGTGAAGGGACGAGACTGTCTGGTAGGACGAGACTGTCTGGTAGGACAATCTCGTCCCTTCACCTGATGAAGGCCGCTTGTGTTGTGGCCGAAACGTCGTGAGAATATTATTGTGTTATTTGATTTTATAAATTTATTATTTTATTCTCATTCTACGTGACTTTACCGAAAGAACCAAAGAAGATGAATCCTTGCAGTCACGAAAGCTTTAAATCGAAATTTAACCCATAGACTCATCGCACAGAGAGACCCACAGACTCACGCACAGAGACCCAAATGCTCATGTAAGAGTGGTAGAAAGCCATGGCGTGTGCCGCACGGGTCCGGCCCGCGGGTCGTGGGGTTTCCCCTTCCCCACACTCCAAGGTCGGTGGGCGGTGCGCGGATTCCAGAGCTTCGTTGTGTGTCTGGTCAAGTATTCAGGGTTCCTCCCCTCGGTCGGCTCAGCGAATGATCACCCAGCGCTGTCTTGTGTGTCAATAGGATCGGCCACTGGGGAGACAAAGGCGGCCGGGAGGGCGTGGTGTTGGTTATCCAACACCCTCGTGTGTGCCACAGGCGCTGATGTTGCTGCTATTCGCCACTAACTTTGCTGCCTGGTGAAGGCTACACGGAGGGCCTTTGTCTTTGGTGTGGAGACGGTGGTGACTTTGCATACGGGGAGTGGTGGTGCAGCGGTTAGCGTACTGCGGTTACCGAACCAGGCGGTTTCTGAGTTGGACTCCCGGCCCGGGACCAAACATCATAATATCGAAATGATATCCGAACCTGTTCTGGGCCTCTTCTAGGTGGCCTCGGCCGTAAAACAAAGGTACGTAACTTGCTGCTGCTGCAGAGGAGGAGGCGGGTTACAGGCAATGCGCGCAGGGGGGATAGAGATGGTCCGCCGTGGCTCCGTGTGTGTTCAGTTATGTTATAGACTTCGAACTTTAAAAAAAACTTTTATTGCCGCCAGCAGCAACAGCACTGGAGGCGATTCCGATATGAAATACACAAAGTCACCAGCAACACAAATACGCGATAAATCCACGCGCTGTGGCGCTAAATGCACCGCGCACAACACGAAATAAAAGTCAGAGAGCGGTGATGAGGTGGTTAGCGCCCGGCGCTTCGATCCCGGCGGAGGCCCGAGATCGATTCCGGTCCTGGGCCTCCTCCGCTCGGTCGAATCAGCCTCACACGAGTACCTGTTGCCGCGGTGTGTGGAATAAACATCACCATTGGGGAGGCAGTCTGTGAAGGTTACACGGGGATCTTTGTCTTAGTTTGCTACTCGCAAACAGCACTTGCCTCAACATTATGTGAAGGCTACACGTTAGATAATCGCGACTCATCCCATCAACCTGCCTGGGCGGTTAAAGTAATTATTAAATTGTGGCCAGCCCGACTGATTAGTGGAGTAATGAGAGGTCTCCCGATTTTCATTCGAAATCTACGGTGGTCCATTAGGTAAATCTCACGTGGTAGGAAAAGCATGGGTACCCTCACCAGCAGTGGCGTGAGCAGGGAATTGCAGGGTTGCACCTTTAATATTTTAGCAAGAGCCGACACTTCAATAACCCGTGCTGACCCGCGTGGTGTAAGCATGGTCAAACAACCAGCGCTGGATAAAGCTCAGTCCACTGCGGGATTAGGGTGTTGGTGGTAGGGAGGCGTTCACTCAGCAGTGGGTTGATCATGGCTGATGATTACCTTTGACTAACTTTATAATCCATAGACTTCACTTTTATCGTCCATAGACTTCACTTTGATCATACGTAGATTTCACTTTGATCATCTATATCCTTAACTTTGAAGCAGCAATCATTACAGCAGTGTAACAACGTTAAACGGATGCATTTTCTTGTTTGAACAGCTACAGCGCGTGAGTGACGAAGGCTACAAATCATTATAGCCTCACAGCCATGGATTTGGAGAAATCCAAGCAACAGCAGCAACAGCAGCAGCAACAACATCAGCAACAAATGCTGCTCAACTCTACCGAGTCGTGCGTCCTGGAATCACTCCGGGGCTTCGTTGGGTTCCACCCAACTCTCCGCCTGCTCCCGGGCCCTCACCGAATTGTCCTTCGTTGGGAGTCAGTTACCCGGGTCGGGACAAGTCCAGAAATCGGCCAAGAGGCTGGCCGGAGGACTGGCCAAAAGACCGTTCAAGGAACTAGCCAATGCATTGGCCAGGGGGCGAGCCAAGGGATTGACCAGGAGACTCGCCAAGAGACTGACCAGACGACTAGCCAAGAGACTGGCCAAGTGACTAACCAAGAGACTGGCCAGGGGACTAGCCAAGAGACTGGCCAGGGGACTAGCCAAGAGACTGACCTGGGGACTAGCCATAAAAATGGGCGTGTGGCAGTGATTTCTGGGGGTGGCGCGGGTCACGAGCCAGCCCACGCGGGATTTGTGGGCGTGGGGATGCTGAGCGCCGCGGTGTCAGGCCACGTGTTTGCGTCACCTGCTCCGTCGGCTGTGCTGGCGGCGGTGCGGGCGCTGGCACACTCGGGTGCCATGGGCGTCCTCCTCGTAGTCAAGAACTATGCAGGCGACCGCCTCAACTTTGGCGTGGCAGCTGAGCGCGCCCGGGCCGAAGGTGTGGAGGTGGAGATGGTGGTGGTGGCTGATGACTGTGCCACTCCGGCCATTCAGAGTGACTCAGAAGACGAAGATGATGATGGTGTTCATGATGATAGCATTGACACTGACTCGGAACTTGAGACCGATTCTGAACCTCATCCTGAGCCCGACGTAAATTTTGACTCTACTGCCATCCCTTATGTCTGTTCCGAACATGATCGTGATCCTAGCGACCGCAGGAGGGGCAACCGCCGATCACGACGCCTCCATCGTCGGGGCCTCTGCGGGACGTTGCTGGTGCATAAAGTGGCCGGAGCATTGGCCGAGCAGGGCCGACCCCTGAGCGAGGTGGCCCGGGAGGCCCGGGCAGCCGCACGTGCCACGGTGACGCTAGCCGTGGGGCTCTCGTCTTGCCAGGTGCCAGGCCTGGCATTGCGGAGATGGTCGACACCGCTGCAGGCCGGGGAGATGGACCTCGGCGTCGGCATCCACGGGGAAGCTGGAGCCGAGAGGGTAGCCCTGGCACCCGCGCGAGATGTGGTGCGGATTATGCTGGGGCGCATGGTTGGGGATGGTGATAGTGGTGGTGACAATGGTGATGGTGGTTTTGCTGGTGGTGGAAATGGTAGTGGTACTGTTGGTGGTTATGTTGGAGTTTGTGCTAGTGGTATTGGTAATGTTTGTGGTGTTGATGGTGTTGGAGACGTTGCTGGTGGTTTCGGAGATTATGATTATGGTAGGAGTGACGATAGCACTGGATATCATGGAACTCAACGCATCATTGAGTGGGATAGCGACACCAGTTCTGCCGTTTCTAGATCATCTGGAACCGGACTTAGAGTTGCAGGAGATGCCAAACTCAGCGATGCCAGTGGAGGCCACGCCGGACCTCCCTCCACCAGGCCCGTCGGCTGCTCGGCACAAGGCCGTTTGCCCCTGCGCCGTGGTGAGCACGTGGCACTCATGGTCAACAACTTGGGGGGCACCTCTCACCTGGAGCTGGGCGTCATTGCACGGGAGGCCGCAGAGCAGCTGGGCGTGCGGGGCGTGGTGGTGGAGCGCTCCTATGTGGGCACCTTTATGACGGCTCTGGCCATGGCTGGTGTGTCGCTCACTGTCATGCGTCTGGACCACGAGGGCATTAGGCTCCATTGCTTGGATGCGGACACTAACGCGCCCTCCTGGCCCAGAGCGTCGTGGACTTCTTCATCGTTGTTGTCATTGTCCTCTGCTGGACGGGCTTATGGGGACACGTGCGGTGGTGGTTATGGCGGTGGTCAGTATGTGGTGGAGGAGCTGGAGGAGGGTGATGCACTGGATGAGGGTCGTGGGCAGCAGAAAGACCAGGAGAAGGGTCATCAACAGCAGGAGGGTCGTCGACAGCAGGATTGTCAACAAAAGGAACATCAACAGAAGAAGACTGTCTGGGATTATCATCAGGAGGTGGGACACGAGCAGGGGAAGAGTCGTCGATGGGCGATCGAGAAGATGGACGAGGAAGCTGACCAGGGCGACTCGGCGGATCGACCGGAGCCACCGAGACCAGGCCATGAAGCCAGGGTTCTACACGGAGGTCAACGTGGAGGTGAGGACGACAGCGACCCCGGAGCTCCGGTGCGAGCTGCGATGACGGAAGTGTGCGAGGCCCTTCTCGCCCTAGAATCAGAACTCAACGATCTCGACAGCGGGTCAGGTGATGGCGACTGCGGCACGAGCCACGCTCGGGGGGCCCGTGCCTCGCTCCACTGGCTCCGTCACCTCCGGGCCGATCCCAGGACGGCCTCTGCGACCGTCCCCGGGCACCTCCTCCGCGGTCTCTCGGAGCTCCTCGAGGAGGACATGGGTGGTACATCAGGTGCCCTCTACAGCCTCATGCTGAGTGCGGCGGCCGGTGCCCTGGGGTCAGCACCGCGCCCGTGCCCCGCCGACTGGGCCCGTGCCTTCGCGGCAGCTGTGAGGGCGGTCAGGCGGCATGGCGGGGCCCGCCCTGGCGACCGCACCATGCTAGACCCGCTCTGGGCCGCTCACCTGGAGCTGCGCGTCCTTCTAGCGGGGCCTACGGTTGGGAGGCGAGGTTTTCCGATGGACGGGGCATGTGGGGCGGAGGCGGCAGATGCCAAAGAAAGCAGCGGTCAGGAGGAGGAGAAAGAGGAGGTTCATGTGCTTAATGCTATAGAGGTGTTGGCACGGGCGGTGGACAGAGCTACAGCCCAGGCACTCGCTACGGCACAAATGGGGGCTCGTGCAGGCCGGGCCGGGTGGGCGAGGGCCGGGGAGGCGTGGGGTCGTGTCGATCCCGGCGCGAGGGCCGTGGAGGTCGCACTTAGGGCAGTGAGTTTCTCACTGCAGGCTCAGGGCCACTGGTGATGCCTCGGTGACAGTTGTAAAGGGTGGTTTAACCAGTTAACCATGGTTAACCACGGTTAACCGGTTCGGAGGGTTAACCGGCTAAGGGTTGGGAATATCAACTCAAAGCCTACGGCTCACCAAGGGCTCCTTTCCTATGTTCAGAAATATCTACCCTCTGTACTCTTTGGTTCTATTGGGTAAAGTCACGTAGGTAAAAAAATAAAATAACAAAAACTCACGACGTTTCGGCCACAACACAAGCGGCCTTCATCAGGTGAAGGGATCAGGCTGTCTCCAGGACAGCGCTGGAGTGAAACACAGCCACGCTCAGACCGCAGACCTTTAAGCTGTGTGCAAGCAAACAAGGTGTCCTGACAAAGAAATTAGCATAAAAATTTGCATTTGATTGGCCGATTTTAGAAAAGAGGTGGTGTACGTGCCGGTGGACTTGCCGTTTGGCGCGGGGGGTGGGGAGGGGGAGTTTACCTATTGATGGTGTGAAAAGGGAATTTATAAGAGCTGCGAAAGTTTGGGGTACCACTACTTGAAAAATATACTGTACCATTGGAAAGATGTTCTAAATCGAACTAAACATTAAACTAATTTCAATGGTACAGTATATTTTTCAAGTAGTGGTACCCCAAACTTTCGCAGCTCTTATAAATTCCCTTTTCACACCATCAATAGGTAAACTCCCCCCCCCCCCCCCCCACCCGTGCCAAACGGCAAGTCCACCGACACGTACACCACCTCTTTTCTAAAATCGGCCAATAAAATGCTATTTCTTATGCTAATGTCTTTGTCAGGACACCTTGTTTGCTCGCACACAGCTTAAAGGTCCGCGGTCTGAGCGTGGCTGTGTTTCACTCCGGCGCTGTCCTCGAGACAGCCTGATCCCTTCACCTGATGAAGGCCACTTGTGTTGTGGCCGAAACGTTGTGATTTTTGTTATTTCATTTTTTTACCTATGTGACTTTACCCAATAGGACCAAAGAGTATGGATCCTTGCAGTCACGAAAGCTTTAAATCTAGAATCTACCCTCTGCCCTAAGAATCCCGGAATCCCCTGACCTACAGCTCGTCAAAGCAGAGTGGATAGCGTAGGCTTGCAAGATGAGGAAGAGAGGTGAAAGAGATCTGATGGAGAGTAACAATCCAAGATCTCGCCCCTTACTGATTTTGTTTTGCGACCCGCCATTGCGCTTCTGAGGTGCTGAAGGCAGCAATAACAACAAATGAAAAGGTACCCCAGATCTAACCCCGGTGGACTCGAGGAAGAGAAATTTTCTGACTTTACACAGGGAACTGGTGGGGAGAGACAGGGGGATAAGTTCCCAACTGCTCTATGCGACTAAGCTACGAGTCCATGTTGGTGGAAAAAAACTTAACTTTCTAACCAGGGAAAAGCAACGGCAAGCAAATAAGTCCAGGAGGTCCTACAGGGCCCAAAGGGGGATGTGGGACAGCACTGAATTGGTGTGCCGGAGGAGGTAGGGGCCCATCGGACAGCGCAGGGCGAGCTGGGACGGCGACGTGAGTGCCCTGGCGACACGCATCCTTGGCAAGGATGTTAAACTGCAGCAGAGTGGGGGGCATGGGGCGGCTGGCGGTGTCACTGGTGCACATCCCTCCCCTGCCTGCATTATGAAGAACTTGACTGACTTTCTCTTGGCGGAGCGAGCCATGCGCCCGGGGATGGGTGAAGGTGATGGATCTCCCCTCCTCCCTCTCCCCTTTCTCACCTCTCTGCTCCCCTACCCCCCCCCCCCCCTTCATCGTGTTTCTCTTGGTGAGGACAGTGAGCTGTGCTATAAAGGTTTCCCCCCTTCCTACAGGCTTGTAACGATTAGAAACGGTTTGTAATGGGTAGTAGTAGATATTGTAGTTACTTTTTTATCCTTCCTGTTGAGAGTTGTTGTGGAAAGTGAACCTGGTCCGCCCTCGAGAGATCCACTGTTTTCTTACCGGGAGTCCATGGAGGTTTCTTTTTTCTCGGGCTTGGTGTTGGGCGCAAGTTTGTTTGTTTTGTTCTTCCCCTGCTCATCCCTTTGCACCAAAGTCATTGCGTCCCAGTCGAGGCAGTATGGAAATGCCCTCGACGCCTTTGTCTTTCTCCCAATAAGAATGCCTGATACAAGGGGCTTGAGACTCCTCACTCGACCTTCAATAATAGCGCCAAAAACCCCGGTGGATTTGCTCAGATACAATGGACCTCTTTAACAATGTTTTAGGCATAAAGCCCAGCCTCTCGATTGAAACAAACCTGTGGCGCCTGAAACATTACGTAAAAATTCCAGCACACACTACTGCGGACCCTTAACATTATGGCTGGTAGGCCATGAATACTCAAGGGGCGTGAAAGTGGGAGGAGCTTTGGGCTTTTGTCTTAGGAAAGTAATTAATAAGGTAGAAATTCCCATACCATAGTATACAAAATCATATTCGTTAGTCCTGTATTGGCAGACTCCGGGGATAGCACTCGTAATCTGGCTAAGAGTGAGCTTTGCAGAGGTAAAAATATGAGCTCTTGCTAAGACAGACTCTAAGTATCGCTGAAAGTTTTATTTTACGTTTTTCTTTATATTTTGAGTCACTTGCAGAGTCAAAGACTTCGAGAAGTTGTACTGTTCTAACCTAATAGTTGTGATAAGCTAACAGGTGTGCCTAGGAATTTCATATAATACTGTGATAAGCTAAAACGTGTGAGAAGTTAAGTAGAGATTTGAGTCATACACCAATATCAAGTGTGCATGAAATATTATCCAAGCTAGAGGCTGGAAAAGTTATGTTGGTCGAGCCCAGTGACTGACATTGTATGAGATGGAGAGGCCAGGAGAGTGTGGTGGGCACGTGCAAGCTGCTGCACAGCGTGGGATCTCTTGAGTGAGCGACCAAGGGTGATCGCGATTCAAGCCAATCTCAAGGCTGCTGACAGGCAGCGTGCTGGACCAGCCTACCTGCCACATGCTCCAGCTGCAGATCGAGCCTGGGTGCAGACAACCCGTGTGCGCAGCGCAGCAGCTAGTGGCTAACTGGCAGCGTGCTCTTTGGTTCTATTCGGTAAAGTCACGTAGGTAAAAAATAAAACGACAAAATTCACGACCCATCTTCTTTGGTTCTTTCAGTAAAGTCACGTAGAATGAGAATAAAATAATAAATTGATAAAATAAAATAACACAATAATATTCTCACGACGTTTCGGCCACAACACAAGCGGCCTTCATCAGGTGAAGGGACGAGACTGTCTGGAGGACAGCGCTGGAGTGAAAAAGCCACGTTCAGATCGCGACCTTTAAGCTGTGTGAGAAGAAACAAAGCGCCTTGTGTTAATTTATTTTATCAATTTATTATTGTATTCTCATTCTACGTGACTTTACCGAAAGAACCAAAGAAGATGAATCCTTGCAGTCACGAAAGCTTTAAATCGAAAAAAATCACGACGTTTCGGCTAAAACACAAGCGGCCTTCATCAGGTGAAGGGACCAGACTGTCTCGACGACAGCGCTGGAGTGAAACACAGCCAAGCTCAGACCGCGACCTTTAAGCTGTGAGAGTAATTAAGGTGCCTTGACAAAGGAATTAGCATAAAAATTTGCATTTAATAGGCGGACTTAGCATGATGAAAGGTAGGGAGGGGGTCGACCTGTGCAGGCTGGTGAGAGGGCAAGGTAGCGTCCACATTCTGGTGGTGTGAAAAGGGGATTTTAAGAAGCTGCGAAAGTTTGGGGTACCACTACTTGAAAAATATACTGTACCATTGAAAATTAGTTCAATGTTTGGTTCGATTTAGAACATCTTTCCAATAGTTTCTTAATTTGAAACCATCTTCTCGGTTGAAATTGTGTCTGTGTTTGTAGATCTGAATTGCCTCGTGAACAAATCTCTGATAAAAACCCGTGGGTTTGCAAAGAACCTTGGTATCGGAGAAAATTATATCGTGATCACCCACAGCGTTGTAACAGTGATCAGCTACGGCAGAAGAATTCGTTCTGCCGTGTTTCAAATCTGATTTGTGCTCGCGAATTCGGTCAGAGACATGTCGCTTCGTCTCCCCGATATAGCAATCACCGCAGGTACAACTCAATTTGTAAACCCCGGGGTACTGTAAGTCCGGAATGACATCCTTCACGGATGGGATCAGATCACGGATTTTGTGTACTGTATTGAACCGGACCTGGATCTTGTGTTTGTTAGGAATTTTGGAAATCTTTTTAGTAACGCCTGCTATATATGGTAGTGTGATGGTTTTGACCGGAGTATCAAGTGGTTGTTTCTGTATGGAAGGAGAAACAGCTTGGCGGATGGTACGGTCAGAGTATCCATTCCATTTTTGTTCACAAGGCAATTCAGATCTACAAACACAGACACAATTTCAACCGAGAAGATGGTTTCAAATTAAGCAACCATTGGAAAGATGTTCTAAATCGAATTTTCAATGGTACAGTATATTTTTCAAGTAGTGGTACCCCAAACTTTCGCAGCTTCTTAAAATCCCCTTTTCACACCACCAGCATGTGAACGCTACCTTGCCCCCTCGCCAGCCTGCACAGGTCGACTCCCTCCCTACCTTTCATCATGCTAAGTCCGCCTATTAAATGCAAATGTTTATGCTAATTCCTTTGTCAAGGCACCTTAATTACTCTCACACAGCTTAAGGTCGCAGTCTGAGCTTGGCTGTGTTTCACTCCAGCGCTGTCCTCACAGGTCGACCCCCTCCCTACCTTTCATCATGCTAAGTCCACCTATTAAATGCAATTTTTTATGCTAATTCCTTTGTCAAGACACCTTAATTACTCTCACACAGCTTAAAGGTCGCAGTCTGAGCTTGGCTGTGTTTCACTCCAGCGCTGTCCTCGAGACAGTTTGGTCCCTTCACCTGATGAAGGCCGCTTGTGTTGTGGCCGAAACATCGTGATTTTTGTTGTTTTATTTTTTACCTACGTGACTTTACCGAATAGAACTAAAGAGTATGGATCCTTGCAGTCACGAAAGCTTCAAATCTAGAATTGGCAGCGTGCTGACTGGGGAGCAATGAGCTCACTCCAGCTGTGGATTGAGCATGATGCACAGACAACACTGCGAACGAGCAGCGAGCTGCGTGGCCACGAGCGCACGCCACCTGTTGACCAAGCCTACCGTTCTACACATTGTTATGGGACTGGAGGTATTTTTCGGAAAGAAAGAATATCTAAGATGGGACATTAACTTTACACTCACTCACCATTTTCAACTGTACCT